TGTGTGGGGGTAGGGGTGGGGGGGTGGGGGGGGGGGGGGGGGGGTCGTATCCGGTGTTGGTCTCCTTCCCAAGTCGGTGAGGGGGTGGGGGTGTCCGAGGGTGGACGGAATGAGGCTTACCCGACCTCGCTGACGCAGGGCCTTGCCCACCGGGGGCAACTGGACAGGGGAGGGGCTACTGGCAGCAAAAAAGCCGCCCCTCTCTGCCCGCACACCCTTCCTCCCACCCCCTACCCCCAATTGAGCACGTGTCAACATCTCACAGTGGTTCGGCTCAGCGATCGTATGGAGTTCTAATCCGACTGGCACCAGGAGGAATGTGAGTGGGTTGGGGGGTGGTGGTTGGTGAGATATTGTCACTGACACTGCCTCCCCCCACCCCCCAGCTTTCACACACTCACCAGTGCCGCGTGGTTCAAGTCTTGGAATTCTCTCTGTTGCGTCCGGAGCGCGGGGAGGGAGTCTCCAACCGTCTCGTATTTGTCCAGCCGCGGCTCTCCCACGTCTCTGAGCCACTCGCTCACCTGCAGCGGGGCCGGAAGGGTACAGACGGTTGGCAGAAGACGAGCAGCAACGGGACCAACTGACTGGGGCCAAGGTGTAAAGTGGGCTACGTAGAAGGCAGAGGCTTCCCAGCCTTCTCGTAGCTGGGCCGGGCAGGCTGTCTCACGAAGGGAAGGTTGCACAAGGTGATGGCCTAGTGGTATTATCACTGGACATGCACACACACACGTTCACACACACACCCCCTAAATATCTGCCTACATGCAAGTGGCCATGCACACACACACAGACAACACAGATACACACACACACTCTCTCTCTCTCACACACACAGCCACACACACACACACACACACACAGACCCGGGTGATGTTCTGGGGACCTGGGTTCGAATCCCACCATGGCAGATGTTGGAATTTGAATTCAATAAATATCTGGAATTAAGAGTCTAATGATGACCGTGAATCCATTGTTGATTGTTGGAAAAACCCATCTGGTTCACTAATGTCCTTTCGGGAAGGAATCTGCCATCCTTACCTGGTCTGGCATCCATGTGACTCCAAACCCACAGCACTGTGGTTGACTCTTAACCGCCCTCTGGGTAATTAGGGATGGGCAATAAATGCTGCCTGGTCAGCGAAGCCCTCTTCCCGTGAAAGAATAAAGGGAAAAAAACAAGCCGTTTGAGTCGTTCCAAAAATCCCGAGGGTGGGAGGGGAAGAGGATGGTCCCTCCGCTGGGACTGTCACTGGTGTAGCCACTCCGAACGAAAGGAGCTGCCTGCTTCGGCCAGAGGTCAGCAGCATCTCACAACAGGGACATGAATCTTTCGCACTCTCTTCCTCAAAAGGCAGCGCCTTGGGGTAATTTTTAAGGGAGATTCACGACAAGCCGAAGGAGGGGGTGGCATAGAGGAGCCAGATCAGCCAGCACCTTATCAAATTAACAAGCAGGCTCAAGAGGCCAGGTGGTCCCTCTCTCTCCCAATGTTCCAGTCCGTATGTACACGTGGGTGTATGTGCGTGCAATGTATTTTGGGTGTGTGGGTGTTTACACGGGATGAATACACGTACATGTGTGTGTGTCTGTGTGTGTGTGTCTGTGTGTGTGAGAGAGAGTGTGTGTGTGTGTGCGCGCGCGCATAAGTGTGTTCATGGCCACTTGCATGTAGGCAGATATTTAGGGTGTGTGTGTGTGAATGTGTGTGTCTGTCTGTGTGAGAGAGAGACTGTGTGTGTGTGTGTGTGTGTGTGTGTGTGTATGTGCATAAGTGTGTTCATGGCCACTTGCATGTAGGCAGATATTTAGGGGGTGTGTGTGTGTGTGAACGTGTGTGTCTGTGTGTGTGCATGTGACTGTGTGTATGTATGTGTGTGTGTATATGTGCATGTGTGAGAGAGAGAGAAAATGTGTGTGTGAGTGAGTGTGTGTATGTGCATGAGTGTGTGTGAGCGTGTGTGAACATGTGTGTATGTGTGAGAGAGAAAGTGTGCGTTCGTGTATAAGTGTGAGAGGGTGGGCGTGAGTGTGAAAAGTGTGTGTATGTGCTTGTGTGTCTCTGCGTGTGTGTCTATATGTGTGAGTGAGTGTATCTGTGTATATATGTGCATGCATGAGAGTGTGAGTGAGAGAAAGTGTGTGTGTGTGTCTGTGTGTGAGAGAGTGTGTGAGAAAGAGAGTGTGTGTGTGCATGTGTGTGTGAGTGAGAGTGTGAGAGAGTGTGTGAGAGTATGTGCATGTGTGTGTGTGGGTATGTGTGGGTGCGTGTATGTGTGCGTGTGGGTAAGTGTGTGTGGGCACGTGTGCACGTATGTGTATGCTCGCGTGTGCGTGTCTTTGTGTATGCGAGTGTGTGTATATCTGTATGTGTGCGCGCATGTTTGTATGTGTGCACGTGTGTGTATATGTACATATGTATGTATGAGTGTGTGTGCATGTGTGTGTGTACGCGTGTGTGTATATGCGTATGAGTGTATGTGTATGCGTGTATATCTGTAAGTGAGTGTGTGTGTATATGTGTCTGAGTGTGTGTCTGTGTACACATGTGTACATGTGCATGTGAGGGTGTGTGTGTGCACACGTGTGTGTACATGTGTATGTGAGGGTGTGTGTGTACACACGTGTGTACATGTGTATGTGAGGGTGTGTGTGTACACACGTGTGTATATGTGTATGTGGGGGTGTGTGTGTGTACGGGTGGGTATATGGGTGTGTGCGCGCATGCACGTGTGTGTGTATGTGTGTGTGCTCTGCCTTGGTGACTAGTTCTGCAGTGCACACATTACTGTTGAGCCTATAAACTCGATCTATGTCAGCTGGATATGGTGTGTCAGTCGGGGATAGGCATGGTTGGGGCCTTTTCCGATCGCTGGGCACTGCGGGGTGGGGGGGTGGTGGTGGTGGCGGGCGCTGGAGTGCATTAACAGCCCGGGTAACGACATTCTCATTTAGTTAATTGCCTCTGTCGAGTAAGCTTCCGTTTTGCCTTTTGCGTTGGCGTTTGTTTTTCGGTTTGGTGCATTGGGAAGTGGGCTTTTTGAATTTTCTCTCTGTTTCCACTTCGGACCCCCTTGGAAGAGCCCCGGGGAGGGGGGGAGCTTTCATTTTAGCCCAGTACTGTCCCTGTCCCAGACGCGCTGGGTGGGGCAACGGTGTTGTGCGGGGGGAGCTTATCTTTAGTTGAAAAGAGAAGGGGAGCTTCACCTGGATTTGAACCATTGTCGTCCCTGGAGCGTTTGATGGAGGTGGGGACTTACTTAATTTTCATTTCGCTCCCTTTAGTCTGCTTCGAGTTTCTTTTGTTTTGGCCCCTTGCGGTCTCTCACCCAAAAGGGGTGAATGGGGACGGAGTCGAGGGAGAGCCATTTTTGTTTTGTTTGTTTCTGTGTTTTTGTTCAGTGATAGCGTCTCGATTTTGGCTCAACAAAGTCTCGGAAGCTTTATTTCCTGTTTGGAAAGGGGCGGTTATCAGTGATCAGCCACCCACCTCACCACTTAATCACTCCTGCCCTCCCGCTGCAAATTCACTACACTTCGGGGTGAGGGTAGGCCAGTCAGACCCCCCTCGGGGACTGTTCTGTTTCATACGCACACGTATCCTGCCCCCCACCGCCCCCACCCACTCCCCAAAAAAAAACCCCCTACCCCAAAGCATGAGACATAGGAACACATGCAGGCCAATTGGCCTGTTGAGTCTGTTTTTCTCAACCCCATTCTCCCCGTAACCCCCTGGTCCCGTTACCAATCATGGGGCAATGAGACCCACAGATTCACACCTCCCCCCCCAACTCCCGGCTGAAGAAATTCCTCCTCGTCTCAGTTCTAAAGGGTTGTCCCTTCGCCCCGAGGCTGTGGGGCCTCGGGTCCTCATCTCTCCGGCTGCTGGGAGACATTTCCTCCGCGTCTACCGTATCCCGGCCTCTCTGTATTCCATAGGCTTCAATCAGATTCCGCTCCCAACACTACGCCCCCACCCCCCAAACCCTCCCGGTTCCCACCGTGTACAGGCCCAGAGTCCTCAGCCGCTCCTCATCTGTTGGATCGTCCCTCGTGAACACCCCCCGCCCCCCTCCCCACCCAACAACACCCTCCAAGGCCAGCTCGTCCTTCCTTAGGTACGGGGCCCAAAATTGCTCACCGTATTCCAAATGCGGCCTGGCTGGAGACGTACACAACCACATTCCCGACCCCCAGAGTCGTGCTCCAGCTTCAACACAGCACCTCCCCATCGCAAACACCCCCTGCCCCTGCCCCAGCTCCCCCACCCCCACTCCCTCAGGGCGAGCGCCGCCAAGCGGCACGGCATCGGAGCAATGCAGCCCGCAGAGGGTTCGTCCGTTCGGCCCATCGTCCCTGCTGCAGCTGCACCCCCTCTCTCCACCCGCACCCCCGTCTTGCTTTGGCCTATGGCTCTAAAACCCTCGGGGTCACAGGCCTCCCGGGGAACGGGAGCGGGCCGTTCGGCCCCTCAAGCCTCTTCCGGCACTCGACGGGATCGTGGCCCATCCTGCCCTATCCCCATAACCCTCGATGCCCCGACTGATCAAGTGTCTATCTATCCCAGCCTTAAATATACACACGGGCTCTGCCCCCACCGCTCCCTGTGGCAAGGATTTCCAAAGTCTCTCAGCCCTCCGAGAGAGGAAATTTCCCCTCATCTCAGTCTGAAATTGTGTCCCTTCATTCTGAGACTGTGCCCCTCTGGTGCTAGACTCTCCCACGAGGGGGAAACGTCTTCTCTGCACTTATCCTGTTGAATTCCTTACGAATCCTACATGTTTCAATGAGATCGCTGCTCATTCTTCTAAACCCCAGTGAGTACAGTCCCAACCTGTTTAGCCTCATTTTTAACGAAATGAGGGGCATCGCTGGCCGGGAGCAGCATTTATCACCCAATCTCTAGTTGCCCCAGAGGGGAAGCTAAGCTGTGGGGTCTGGAGTCACGTGTAGGCCCAGACCAGGTAAGGATGGCAGTTTCCTTCCCTAAAGGACATGAGTGAATCAGATGGGACCCCAATCGGCAATGGATCCACGGATTTTCAGTTTTTCCCAGGTTATTACTGAATCCAAATTCCACCACCTCAGCTGCTGGTGGGATTCGAGTCGGGGTCCTCCGAACATTCCCCGGGATTCTGGGTTAATAGTCCATCAGGCCACAGCGTGCCCCCGTAAAGCAAATCCACGCCCCCACCTCACACCGGGCGAAAAACCTGAAAATAACGAACTTCCGACGCTGAACAGAGAGAGAAGTCACCAGAGAATCTCAGTAGGTCCAGCCACGTCCGTGAAGAGGAATCGGACTTGATGTTTCGGGTTCAGCGACCCTTCCTCAGAGGACGGACCCGAAACGTTGACTCTGATTTTGCTTTTTTTTTGCCTCTCTCCGCAGACCTGCTGAACTTCTACGGCAACTCCTGCTCTCAGTTCGAAGGGAACGTCATTAAATAAGGAGAGGGGTGGGGCACGAGGTTCGAGACCCTTCCCGGGAGGGAGAGCAGGCCAAACATCTGTAGATGTGCTAACGTCCCCCGCGCTCGTCATCCGATACCCTGCGATGGTCTGGTGCTGCCTGCACACCCCCACCCCCCAAACACCCCACACGAGGGCGGGGCGTTACCTGGCGATATTGATCCTCGAAGCGCCAGAACCGGGCCAGCTTCTCCAGGTCCCTTTGCCGACGGTTCGAAACCTGAACCAGACGGTGCAGCTCTTCATCCACTTGGTTGTACAGGGTGCAAGTCACATCCAGGTCAGGCCTGCCGGGGGTGGGGGAGGGAATTCAGAAGGACAGCGATCAATCAGACCTCGCCGAACCCGCTCCTACACCCCCCACCCACCCCCGCTCTCGCTTCGCACCCTCCCCCCTCACCCAATTCACCCACGGAGAGAATACACAACACGGAGATCAGAAACGGCAGGGAACGGCTGTGGTGGGGTGGGGATGGCGAAGGTTTCGCCTTTGTTCGTTCGAAGGGCGCGCCCAGCGTTTTACCGCCGAGAGTCGACCGCGCGGGCGCGGGTCTGGAGTCACGCGTAAGCCAGACGGAGCAGGGACGGCGGATTCCCCCCCCCCCCCCCCCCGCCCCCGCACCCCAATTCAGGTGAAGCCGAATGGGCTTCTACGTCAGCCAACTGAGCCCAGTTTCGTTTTAATCCCAACATTCCTGAGGGGGATCAGGGGCGACGGCGGGATTCGAACCCGGGACACCAGACGAGGAGGTCAGGGGCCTTCGTTCAACGCCGCTACTTCCCCCGGTCTCCCCTCAAACGCCGAAACAATGGGTCAGAGAATTAAAGGTGATGGGGAAATGATTTTGTGGGCGCAGCGAACTGGGGGCGGGGGGCGGTGGTGGTTGGGGAGAATCCAGGAGGCACTGCTTCGATTTGGGTTCAGACTCGAAAGAGTGACCTTCAAAACGAAACTGGATCATTACCGAAGAGAGAGAGAGAGAGTTAGAACCACAGATACCCTCCCCACCCAGCGTGGAAGCAGGCCAATTCGGCCCATCGAGCCCGCACCACAACCCTCCGCAGGGCGGAAAATTGGAAAGATTGCCTCAAAGAGGAAAATAATTTTCAGGGCTATCGGGGGACAAGGCAGGGGAGTTGGGGGGAGGGGAACAGCAAAGGCTGAATGGCCTCCTGCTGCTGCATGGGACCCCTCTTGTGCCTGGCCCTGGAGATGGCCCGCACGGTCCCACAGGGGGTCGAAGTTCAAAGGCAGCCATACATGTGTCCATCGAGCCTGTACCCGCCCTCCACAGAGCGACCCTGTAGGTTCCGATCGCGACTCCGCGGCCCATAGGCCCCACACCAGGCCTACTTCCCCCACACCAGGCCCACTTCCCCCACACCAGGCCCACTTCCCCCACACCAGGCCCACGGCCCCCACACCAGGCCCACGGCCCCCACACCAGGCCCACTTCCCCCACACCAGGCCCACTTCCCCCACACCAGGCCCACGGCCCCCACACCAGGCCCACGGCCCCCACACCAGGCCCACTTCCCCCACACCAGGCCCACTTCCCCCAC